GAATCAAAGCATATATTATATTATATTAAAGTATAGTATAGTATATTAAATTATTACATTACATTACATTAGGGGTGGGAATTTTTTACTCTCTCACGATTCGATTCAAAATCGATTTTACATTCAAAGCTGATAACGTGAGCCCATTTGTCATGTTCCCTAAGTGTTTCATCTTCATTTTGCAAACCTCACACACCTCACTCAGGTCAAACTCAGACTCATTCAGTAAAAACCAAAATGAGCCCAAATCTTTGCATTCAATGAAGACAGGGCCAGTTGAATCTCTCTTTCCTCCAGTTTTGTAGTTTCCTCTTTGTTTTTGGTGCTTTCTGCACATTTATATGTTCCAGAAGCAGCTGCGTGATGACGTCAGCACATCCCATGTAGTTACAAAATGGAGGTTGACAGCCTTTGGATTTGCTTTATTTATTTATGTTAAAAAATCAATTTTGGGACATTTTAAATCGATTCTGAATCTTTGAAAATGAGAATCATGATTCTGATGTAAAAGAAATTTTTGGTGTGTGCACCCTTATCTTATCTTATCTTATCTTATCTTATCTTATCTTATCTTATCTTATCTTATCTTATCTTCACCTAATTAAACACAGGGCTGATGTTAGGTTCATGGTGATATTTAGCTAAAAAGCAGCTCAAATGGCTCTTAACCATGTTAATATCAGTAATATATAAAAAGTTAGGATGTTTTAATTTATTATCATTATTACAAAAGATCAGTTACAAAAACATTATTAGACCTGCTGATGCCCTGTTTGTTGCTCATTGACAGCCTCTGTGTATYGTGGTTGTGTGTATCTGCTTTAATATTAAGATAAAAGGTTTGAAAAAGTTAGTTTCTCCTCATTTTGTTTGTAATTTATTTATGTAGCAGCACATAACAGTACATCTGTATCGTGCCAGAATTGGCCAAAGGCTAGTTTTCATCTGTAGTCCTGGTGACCAGTTGTACAGTGGCACCCCAGAAAGACATAAAATGTTCAACAATAAAATCATCAACAGTTAAGAACAGCATATTTAAGGCAGTGTCACATCATCACAAGAGAATCAACAGTGGCAGCAAAAACAGTGACATACAAATAAAATTAGTTCTGAAGAGCAGCATAGCTATTCTTTAAGCACGAGCTGCAGCAAATCACTTAGTAAAAGCTGTTTTATAGTGAGTATAAAACAGATTAAGACATTTAATAGATGCATGATAAAATGAATTTTAAGTTTCAAATATTATTAAAATGGTCATCATTCAGTGATGCTGGGAAAAGATTTCCATATGGAAAATGTCTTTCAGACAATACAAGAGAGTAAAGGAAAAATGAAATGAATGGATCTTTATTGCTCCACAGCAGCTGTGTTTGGAGGAGTTTTCAGCTTGTCTGTGTGTTTGTATTTTTTTATAATCCAGAGGCTGCGGGTGTGAGCTTTCTGTGGCAACCACCGCTGAAGGGAGTAGCTGAAAGAAAAACAATAGCTAATGATTAGTTAGAATTCTGGATAAACTCAAAATAATTATGTTTTTGCCTTCATAAATCATAGCTTGGACCCACATTTCACATGTAAATTTTATGAACACACTGTAATATAAGATGTTTCCCAACTTTAAATGAGTCATTAGTTCTGAAGGTGAGAATGAACCGAGCCAAAACATTTCATATTTAAGGAACAGAGAGGTGGTTTCAGGTATGTTTGTACTGTGAGTAGTCAGTATATGCGTGTTTATTTTAGCTCATCAGTTGTCMGTAACGTGATATGTTGTGTTGTTTTTCCCGCTGCAGTACTTGGCCTCTCTGGGCATTCAGTCGTTGGTCCAGCAGGGGGCGACGCAGGGTAAGACTGCACACAAGCTGATGGATGCGCTGAAGGACACAGACATCCTGCACTGGAAGCAGAGCCTGTCGGAGCTGATCGAGATCAGYCTGGCTCAGACCACGTCCATATGGAGGATGTACGGAAAGAGGTCAGCCTCTCCTCCTCGTCACCGTAACACACACTTGTCTGTTCTGCTCAGTGTTGACCACAGCGCCGGCACAGAAGCTCTTCCCCGCTCACTTCAGATCAAATCAAACAGAGGAGTTTCAGGCGTGGATAAACGTGTTGGACAGCTGAACGCTCTCTGCACACTTCAGATGTTCCCGAGCTTAAAAATGGGAGTCAGAGGAAATATGTTTTTGTTTTGTTTGTTTGTTTGTTTATGGTGGCCTGTTTTGTTTCGTGCAGCACCATGGCTCTGCAGCAGGCCCAGCTGCTTCTCAACATGAGCAGTCTGGAGCCGGTCAACTTCGGAGTCCATCAGAACAACACGGAGGCCTTCGCCGTGGCGCTCTGCCACCTGGCCGAGCTGCACGCTGAGCAGGTAACACATCTGATCTTTTGTGTGTCTGTTTTGTGTCCTGCTGGTGCGCTCTCACTGGGAAGRTTCATTATCTTCTCAGTAGTGGATTTGTGGATAATGGACATTAAATCAGCCTGGCCTTTCTGCTCCTGGGTGACGGGACTCATCKTCTCTTTTGTTTTTGTTTTCGTTGCAGGGCCTGTATGGTGCCACAGCAGAGATTCTGCAGCACCTGAAAGAACAGTTTCCTCCTCACACACAGCATGCAAAGGTGTTTATTCCTCTTATCTATTTGTGACGTGCTGACAGCTTGATACTGAAAAACACTTTCAAGTTTTCAGGGTGACAGGCTGATCAGAGCTGGGTGCAATCCATATGTGGATTTTATAACAAATAAATAATTTTTATTCAAATTTAAATGATAAAGTTTATTCATCTGTTTTTATAGGTTTTATTGACTAAAAGGTGATGTTTCTTTTCAGTAAATACAGTATGTGTTTTTATTGTTACCTAGGAAGTGTAAATAATTCTGTAATAATTTCATCTAAGAGTAATAGCAATACTTTTTTGTTCATGTTCCTGTTTAGCTCTGGATGTTGTGTGATTTGAAAATTCAGTTTGAAAGACACATGAACGAAAGGAAGTACCATTTAGCAGAGCCGCTGGTGAAAGCCATCTCTGCTCTAAACAAAACAGAAGGACTTTACAGGTAACACCAATCCTTCCTTTGTGTGCACGTGCAATCTGTGCTGCAGCTGTAACGGTGTGTTTTCTGGCAGGAAAGCTCAAGTTCTGAAGGCGCTCGGCCGCAGCACTGAGGCGTACAACATCTTACAGCATCTGCAGGTTGACTGTGAGAAGACGAAATGCACCGAGATAATCATCAGGTTACCACCTCTTACATATATTTAATACTTGCTTCCTGCAAAAGCAATGAAACTCAAGTTCAAGTTTATCCTTYAACTTTGCTGTTATCTTCTAGTTTTTCTAGTTGGCCTAAGCCATATTTTAACCATTGTCTGCATCGATTCCACTCTCTGTGTCGTTCAGAGTGATGCTGTCCACCGCTGAGCTGCACTGGGAGTCGTCCAGCTTCTCCACAGCTCTTCCTATTCTCCTGCAGGCTCTGACTCTGGCCAGACAGCACCACCTTCAGTCCCTGGTGTCAGAATCCATYCTTCATCTGGCCTTCACTCAGGTCTGTTACAGCAACAAAGACGGGCTTCATTTCTGAGCAGTCAGTATCCTACCTGCAACAGAGAGCAGTCAAGCTAGTAGCTACGTAAAAGAAAACTTTCCTGTCTGAAASAGCTCAAACTCAATAACTTTAGAATGAGACAGCTGTTTATGCTGGAGGTTCCTAAATTTTTTTCACACCATGGCCCCCTAAACAGCATTAGCTTCTGGCTGAGGACCCCACTTGTTAACCCACAAACAATGCTACAAAATATGTAAACATTACAGTTTTGGAAAATAAAATTTTCCACTTTTATTCACTATCAGTAATTATTATATTTGTTTAGCTTAAGAATTTTATAAACACTTTTATATTAT